TACAAGTCACTTAAATGATATTTGTAACAAAAACTCCATAAATGACATTCAAATTTTATTTGTCAATAAAAAAAACATTTCATGCAATTTATATTTATTGAAGAAGAAGAATTTTTAAATTTAATGTACAACAAAAACTCTGTTACTTTGGTCTCACATGCAATTGTCAAGGACTCCATGGCAAGATTGTAGTTTTTGCTGAAGTTGCTAATCCATATCAGTAGAAGCCGGAGAGGGTCAAGCACCGGCTGAAGGTTTATATTCCCTGACCAATCTGAGTGAGAAACTGATATTTGTGCATCATTTCATTGATAACTGTTGAAATTTGATTATATTCTTAATATGAACTAAAATGCGATATTAGTTTATATTCCTTATATGCATAGACTCTCTCTATCCTTATATATAATATGTATTTAACTAAATCATACAAACTAATAAAAATTAATTATCTAATTAAAAGTACAGTAATATTTTAATTTTGCCTTTAATTGTTGTAAATAAAAAATGAATATCTTTTTTTAAAATAAATTAATGAGAGTACTTATCTTTTTTTTTCAATTCAATAAAGGTATAATGACTCATTCATTAAAAAATATGCTAACAATATCTTATATATAAGGATGGAGGGAGTGTAGCAAATTTTAAAGTAATACAGATTGTTTATGTGGTGTGAAAGAAACAAGTTTAAAAATAAAACATTTTTTACTATTTTTTATTTATATGGATATGAATAATTTATAAACTAAAATAAATTATTGTTTATATTGGAACTTAAATTTTAAAAAATTTAAAAAACAAAACATGGTATTTATAATCTTAATATAAATATATTTTTATTAATTTTTATTTTCTAATTTCATTAAATTCTTTCTCTCATTAAAATCAAAGGTTAATTAAGGATCATTTTTGTCCCTCAACTTTACTCAAAGGGTCACTGGGCACCCTGTATGAGTCAATTTTGTCCTTTAATGTTAAATATTTACTTCTTTGCCACCCTGCTGTTAGCTCATCATTTTTTATCCTTCAACGTTAAAGATTTAGTTCCTTGGGTTAATGCTTGAGAGTCAATGGGCACCTTGCATGCAAATATTTTATAATAAAAAATATTAAAAAAATATAATATGATGCCCACTAAAGATGAACAGACTACGAATTAATGACAGGGTGACGAGAGGGAAAATCTTTAATGCTAAAAGATACAATTGATCCATATTGAGTTTAGGATGTCTATTGACCTTTTAGGTAAATTTGAAGGGTAAAAATGACCTTTAATCCTAAAATCAACAGCATTTATAAATAACTTTTTTCTCCAACGGCATTCTTGGTTATAGTTTCAACACCATAATCTTGGACATCAATCATTTGCTCCATAAATTTTGAGATAATCATTTCCAAGTCATCCAAGAAGATTTATTTTACTCTGTATTTAATTTCTCTTCTTAGGTATTTTGTAATGTTTTAGTTTTATGACTTTTTTTTTGTACATAAGCAATTAACTTTTGGCTTAATATATATATATATATATGTATGTATGTATGTATAAAATTTTTCTCTCATTTTCTTCCTTTTCATTCTCCTCAAATCAAATAAATGTTAAACTTTATGTGCATCCATCACATGGGGTTTAAAATCTAGTTTTCATTTAAAACTCAATAAAATTTGATATAATTCTATAGGCCTAAAAGTCTCTCTTGGAATTAAGTTTTTTTGATAAAAAGATGGAATTTTTCATTTGTGAAATATCCATACATGACATTCAAAGTCCATTTATTAACAACAAAATATCTTTGGCAATAAAAAACAACAACAAAACGTTTATTCATTTTACATAGTCCATGTAAGTTACACTTGTTGAAGGAAAGAAAATTTGCAACTTACCTAGATGATATTTACAACAAAAACTTTATAAATAACATTCAAATTTCATTTGTTAATAAGAAAACATTGATTAATATCATATAGTTCACATGGTTTATGCTTCTTGAAGTAGGAAAAATTTACAAGTTACCCAGATGGAATGTACAGCAAAAACTCAGTAAATAAAATTCAAAGTTCATTTATTTATAACAAACTTTCATTCCATGTAGTTTGCATTTATTGAAGAAGAGGGAATTTACAAATTATTAGAGCTAGTAGTATGGGTTGAGTTGCTGCCACCCATAAAAAAAAGGCGGGTTGGGTTGAAAAAATGGGTTCATTTTTATGTGGGTCAATTTTGGCCCTCCTCACATTATGGGTTAGCCCGCTTAATTTTTTTTAAAAAGATAGAAATAACAAAATTGGTCTCTTAATTCTCAAACCCTCGCTTAATTGCTCTCGCTTGCTCACCTCCTTAACTCCTTAATTCTCATTAACCAGCAAGTTACCCACTCCAACACTTGCAAGTACAGTCCTTAAATTTAAAATTTAAAATGAGTTGTTGTTACTCTCTAATATAAAAGCAACACTTGTAAATCTAAGCCTCTTCTATCTTTTTTTTTCAATTCGTAAAATTTAGAGTAGATTGATATTCTCGAATGGGTTCTTATTCTTATCAAAAGGTGAATGGATTGTTGTTAATGTAAAATCAACACTTGTAAATCTAAGCCCATTTAGAACTTGTTAAAGTGAGAATGAAGCGTTATTAATATCAAATATATTGTATGTCAAATTCTTAATAACAATTTAGGGGAAGTTCAGCCTTTTTGGCAACAAAATCAATATCAACCAAGGATCAATGGACTGTAATAAAATTTTCAAATTTATTGGTCTTTAAATGATATAAAATTGATCTCGGAATCCTTGGTTAATATTTTCCCTATTTACTATGCTTTATTTTATTATTGTTGTCATAATTCTAATGTTATTGTTATTTTAGTTTGAATCATGGCAAATCTTTGCACACTTGAATTTATGGTTCTTGATATTACGTTGATATTACATGAGAGAATTATCTATCTTGAGTGTTGGATGTTGAAATTCACCTATATGCTAAAGGTATAGGAAATATAATTTTACTTAGAAATGAAGCAAACTATCTAACAATAAAAGATCCACTAAAATTGTGGAATGATCTTAAAGGAAGGTATGACAACCAGAATAGAGTAATTTTACTTAAAGCCCAATATGAATGGATGCATTTGAGGGTGCAATCTTTTAAAAATGCAAGTGAATATAATTCAGCATCTTTTAAAATAAGTTCTCAATTAAAATTATGTGATGAGACAATGACTGATGATGACTTAATAGAAAGAGATTTTCAACTTTTCATGTTTAAAATAAGCTCTTGCAATAGCAATATGGTGAAAAGGGTTTTAAAATGTATTATGAATTAATCTCATGTCTTCTTGTGGCCAAACAAAATAATGAGCTATTGATGAAAAATTATGAGATGCATCCAACTAGATCACCTCCATTCCCTTAAGCGAATGTGACTATATGTAGTAATTACCATGGTCATGACTATAGCCGTGGCCGTGGTTGTGGCAGGGGACATGTTACTTGCTGTTATCATAGTGGTAATTGTACTAATTATAATCCTAACACCCACCAAAAGAAGAAAAATAATGAAGGGTGAAAAAGAGATAACAATGGTCCTTCAAAAACTATTGAAATACAATGTTATCAATGTGGTATGAAGGGACATTGATCATGTGCTTGTTGCACGCCTGAGCATCTAGAAAAATAAAGCTTCATCAAGTCTTCATAAAAAAGAATTCAAATAATGTAGAAGCAAATTTTCAAAATGATAATTTTGAGGCAAATTTTGCATACAAGAATGATGATATCAATGAGTTAGATAATACTAAGGGCCTTGATGCTATGACAAACTTGGAGGTGGTTGATTTCTTTAAAAATTAGGTTTAGAAAATTTTGGTTGAAAATTAATTAGAACAACTTGGATTACATTTTATGTATGTTTTCATTTAGCTTTCTTGTTTTCTTGCAATAAAAACATTATTGCTTGGAATAAATTTCATTTTATAAAGTTATTATTTTAATTATTCCTTGCTTTCATCAGACACAAGAATGAAGATATATGCCTCATAAATAGTGTTACAATGAACACCATACTTAAAGATAAAAAATATCTTTCTTATTTAATAATAAGGAATGGAAGCATTAATACCATAGTGGGCAAAATCAAATTAATTGATGGCTTCAAAAGAGAAATTATAATATCACCTAAAGGAACAAAAATTATTATAAATAATGCATTATGTTCATCTAAATCTCAATCACCATGATTTATCCAAAGAAATGATTATCATAAGAACATGCAAATAATAATAAAGAGAAATTTTTAATAAAACACAATATTCAAAATACAATAATTGGCCTAGGGCACAATTTTTAACAAAATTAGGAGAGAAAATAACTTTTAACTTATTTGGATGATGAAGGAAAAGTAGAAGGAAAAAAAGTGAGAAAAAAAATGGAGTGTGGGATCCATCACATTTTCTCTTCAAAAGTGAAAAGATCTTGGGAGTAAAATTTTTGACATTATCTACCCTCCTCTCTCTCCCTTGTTAAAAAAAAAAAAGTGAGAATAGAGGTTATAAGTCTTGTTGAGGTCCATGTATTGTATAGCATGGTTTTGGGGTTGATGCATTTCGTTTCTATTTTTTAAATGTAAAAATAATATACAATTATTAAATTATTTGATTTTAAAATATAATTTAAAAACACATCTTTAAAAAGTAATTTAATTTTAAATTAATTTGACGTTGTTAATTTTAATATAGTTTTTGCTTTCAATTTAATTTTATAAAGATGATTATGTATATGATATGTTTTGACATAATGGCATTACGATCATGTAATATTTGCTCATTTTTTTTTTTTTTGTCCATATTTTCTTTTGCACATCCAAACATATGAAAGAATACTTGTAATGCCTGCATCAAGATGTTAGTTTTTTTTTTTTTGGGATTGTGCACGCCCTTGGGTCATTGATAACTTAATAAATTAGATTTTGGGCTTGGCTACATTTCTCATTAAAAAAAAAAAGAAGAACAAACTCTCAAGTTTAATGACATAATAACCATAAACGTTCAATGACAGAATAAAGGCTCGTAAGACCTCACCAACCCAAGCTCACAAATTTAATGGCATTGTCATAAAGTTCAATAACAAAATAAAGACTCATAAGCATCTATTTTCATTAAGACGTAGCCATCGCTTTTTCTTGTCACGAGTCATGGTAAGAAAAATTTCTCTCCATCCAGGGTCGTCCTTCAAGGTTTTCAAGGCTTTCACATAACTATCTTCATGGACGTACCCCATCTCCTCAAGAGCAATCACACACTTGGCAAGAGAATAATCCGACGAAGAAGTGGTCTCCTTACTTATCTCACCTTTATATCTCTCAGCTTTTGCCTTATGTACTTCAGTCCATGCTGCAAGTGCTTCACTCAACTCATGAAGTTTATCTATAGTATCTACCAAAGCTTTAGCCATTAACTCGGGCCACATCTTTGAATCAGCTTCTTCCATCTACCATAAGAATGACAATTAGCCCCAGACACAAAGTAATTTTATTGGGTTTTAGAGGGACAATATGAGCATAACATTGGAGTAACAAATATGAAAATGTTGAGATAGATGTATCGACATACACTAAAAGATAAAATCTGAAATATAAAATAATTTTATTGATTAAATGTCTGCAGAAACAACTCAAACAAAATATAAATAAATTCATGGGTTAAAGGGCATTTTTGCCCCTCAACTATTCATTTGAGAGAGTTTGATGTCTTGAACTTAAATGTGATGTAATTTTCCCTTTAAAATTTGAATAAAATCTTATCATTGTTTCTTTCTTTCTTTCTTTATTTGTTTATTTTTAAATGCTATTATTTTTTTTTCCTTTTCTTTTTTCTTTTTCTATCCTTGTATTTTCATATTTTTTGGTCAAATTATTTTCTCCCCTTTTCTTTTGACACTTTAAATCCACTAGTATAACTTATTTACTATTAGTCGGGGTTCTTTTAAAAACAAAAAATTAAATCTTCACTATATTTAGTTTCCGTCTAATCTAAATAAGTATAATTTTGCACCCTATTGTTAAAAAAGTTAATTTGACCATTAGTTAACTCAAAAATTACAAAAAATGACCAAAAAATACACACAAGTACCTTATAAAAAATTTAATAGTGTGATAATTTATAAGTTTCCCACCAAAATCTATAATCCTCCTTTAAAAATTTATAGCTACAATATAAAATGCGTTCATTTATAAAAAAACACTATTTCTAAATTTTGGAAGAAGGGTTATAAATTATTGCACAATTTTAAGGATTTAATCGATAATAATTTTTTTAGTGTACTTTTTCTATTTTGGAGGTCCATTTAATGCTCCATTTTCAAATGCTTCATTTTTTTTTAAAAAGGAAGTGAGGGAAAAGGTGGATTCTATGAAAAATCAGTTCCGCCAATTTTGGTGGAATTGAATTCTCCAAAAAAAAAAAAAAGATATCCACTATGGCAGGCATAAGATTACTAATGACAAATAAAAGAATTGCATGATGTGAAGTATCAACATATTTTTGCCGTCACCAACAATAACTTAATTACGAGTCCAATCAAGCTCTTTACAAATTATATTGTTCATTGTTAGTGCTTAATGGATAACAAATCCAGAGAGCATAGAAATTAACCCACGTGATAAAGTTCATTCCTCACACAATAAATCACAAAAAGTGATGGAGTTCGAGATTAATGAAGATAAGCATGAGACTCGTTATAAATTAAAACGATCCTAAGCCAACAGGAGAAACCATAATCATAGCAAGCCCAACCCACACTGATCTTAACGATCGCACACGATTCAAATTCCCCAGTTCATCATGTTTGAAACTAATTCCCAGATCACAGAAAGCATTTCTTCTTTCCGGTGAAGAGGACATATAAATTCCCAAATATGAAAAGAGGCAAGATCTCAGAGATTAAGACGAAGCTGAGAATGAGCGAGATGAGGGTGAAAGAGATATACCTCACCGTCACCGGAACATGAAAGTGAGAGCAAGTTGAGGGAGCGACGAGAGGGACGGAGGGGCGAAGAGAACCGCGAGAGAAACTAAAACAGAGCCGTCGAAGAAACTGATCCAGGAGCGTGACTTTAAAAGTCATAAAGTTGTGCCAATAATTATTATTATGCCATCCATTAATTAAAGCAAAAAGAGTGTGTCCTCAAGTGCGTAATAAAAAAGAAACTAAAAGCATAAAATGAAAAAAAAAATGATAATAAAATCCTCCCAAATTATAATGACAATTTGATCACTTAAAATGTCATAATTTCACTGAAGTGTCTAGAGACTTTTGTATCAAAAAATTTTAAAATGTGTTTGGGTTAAAACTAAGATGATGTCTATTCAAAAAGACACAACAGCTATAGCAAGAATTGGACTGAGTGAATGAAGTGTCAGGCTCAATAAGAGATTCAATAATGATAAGGATGGTCTACATCATGGTAAAATGACTTGACTAAGTCAACATGGGTCCTAGAATCTCTGAAGACTTGGAACCTCTATCTAGGTTGTTGCCTTACATGAAACCATTATCTCAAGGGGGCTTGAATCTTCCAGTATTGTGACCTTCATCCACAGATATTTTGAAAGAATGGCTGGTAGTTATAAACAGCTAATGATGGCCTACACACGCTATAAATACGAGAATAGTAACACAAAAAATCAAGCAGTAACATCCTTCAAGAACCATCGATTCTTAATATTCACTTTTAGCATTTCAGTTTGTATTTTCAAATAGTTTTTAGCATCATTAGCTTTGTAACCTCTATGATCTTGCATCTTGCATACTTTAGTAACCAAACACTTGTTATTTCAATCTCGTTGCAACTTTACATCTAGGTAAATAATAGTAAGGGAGATTAGGGACCCTTTGTTATCTTTTTAGACTCGACATTTCTAGTATGCCTAGTAGTTTTTGTTGTTTGTAGGGAACAATTTGTGACACAACTGATGGGACTCTGTTTAAAAAGATGCTAAGGACGAGAAAAGACAAGAAGATTGATGAAATAGGTACTGGTTCTAATGAGCCAAAAGAAAGCTTTGCACCTGTAGTTTTAGAACCATTAATGCTTGATGCTAAGGTAGTTGGACATTGTTAGCACATAGTGCTAATGACAACAAGTAGTAATAGCACAAGTCCTAGTTCAAAAGCAGGAAATGAACATGTTAACCCACTGATCATATCTAATGGTCCTATAATAGAAGTGCTATGAGGAATTCAGAACTGTATGGATAAGAAAATAGAAAAAAATTAGAAATTCTTTACTCTCTCTCTTGCTCTAAAAACATCCAAATGCAGAGAAAAGGAGTCTCAGCAAATGATGATGAAGGCTTTTCATGAAAGGAAGAGAAACATAGCCATATTACTAGGTGGAAGACCTCCTAAAGCATGCTTAAAATTTAGGCTTCCTGGAGGACAACCATCAGGAGGCAATCCAAACATAAGCCTTTAAGGCCACACACCTAAACCAAACATAGGTGGCCTGAGGGGTATGGGAGCCATCCTAGAAAGATATAACAAAAAAATGAAATCAATTGGTGATAAAAGAAGCTCTTAGGGATGTCATATAAGACATACATGGGCCTAGGCTAAGACCAATTGGTCGGCCTACGTTCATGAAACCATACCTTGGACACATAGATCGAGACAACTCTTATCCTAGAAGCTATAGAATCCTTGATTTTACTTTGTTTTTAGGAGATGGGACACAATCAACACTAGAACACATTGGCAAATTCACTATCCAATATAGTGAAATCACCAATTATGATAACTTTGACAGCTTAAAGCTGAGGTTATTCTTGAACTCCCTCATAAGTCTAGCCTTTACTTGGTATACTATGTTATCTTGTAACTCGGCACTTACTTGTTTTCAAATGGAATAAAAATTTCATGTATAGTTCTATAAGGCAGAACCTAAAGTTAACATCGTAGAACTCTGCCAGCTGACTCAGCGGACAAGAGAAGCAATTGTTCAATATCTATGAGATTTAAGAGATTGAGGGCAAGGTGTAATCTACCTCTTGAAAGCCTAACAGATGTTTATTACTGTGGCTTTAGTAATAAACATCTGTTAGGCTCAAATTAATAAAGGCATATTAAAGTTTTCAGGAAAGGAAGAATAAATGGTAGTGGATCAAGATCCATTCCCACCATTTGCCATTGTCAATATGGTAGAGATATATAGGCCCTAATAAATGAAAAGCTAGGAAATATGATGGGAGGCAAAGAAAACAAGGGAATAGACAGCCTTGGAATGTCTCAGAGATGAAAGGAGATAAGAAAAGGCTAAATTAGTATGGGACCACCTAAGGGAACCTATAGGTGGGATTGATCATAGTGACATACTTGATGTAATGAAATCATATAGAGGCAAACCTTCAGGTTAGGATATAGGCCTAGAAGGGAAACTCATGGAGATCTCAGAGAAATTCAAAGTGGTGTGAGATTGCTTGGGTAAACCTTTAGGAAAATTTCATTACTTTAATAAATACTTAGCCTTACTTGGTGCAGGGGAACAATTCAGGGGTAAGCCTTCAGGATGGGATGTGGGCTTAGGAGGACAACATATGGAGGAACTCGAATAAAAAATCACTCAAGAGCTCCCTTCAAAGCCAAAGCCTATCAAGAATAAGAGTAGGTATGTCGTTCCACCTATTGATGTGTCGCCCTAGTAATGGAAGATTGTAAGGCACCAAAAATTCCTAGGTATTTTAACACATACTCAGCAATGATGCCTTCAACTTAAGTGGGTTGCCTAGAGATATCTAGAGGGACAAAGGGAAATATTTCAAGAGAACACCAATGGGTAAGAATCAAGCAAGTTTAAAAAGAAGTCAATAGAAGATTAGGATGAGGAGGGAGAAAATGAGAATGAAGATGAGAAAAAACAAACCAGAAGCATTAATATAAGAGAGATACCCTTAAACCTCTACTGTATAGTCTCTTTAACACTCCTTTTGCAATTTAGCAAAAGAATAGGCCATAGGGCTTAGGACAAGTTACACGTGATCAAGATAAGGTAGTAACCATTGATGCGGATGGAAAATGAAATAGCATGTATCAATATTTTCTTATCGAACCAAGGGATGAAGAATCTAAATCATTTGAAACACAGGAAACATTGTAATTAGAAAACATAGAGTCATATCTCTTGTGTCAAATTACACTATAAGCCAGAGAAGGGAAGCCCAACTGGGCTATCCTAGAAAAACCAGCTATGAGATGACTTAATACTTAAAGCCTTGGTACTTCAAAGCTCACTTTGATAGTAAACTTATGATGAGAGTATTAGTTGATAATGGCTTAGCAGTCAATATTGAGCTCTGCAAGTGTGTGGCTGTGACAAGTAATAAAGTATGAGTAGAGTATCATTTTCATGGAGATTTGTTTAAAAAACAATGATCAAATAAAAGATTTAGTGAATTCAATTAAATTGAGGCAAACATAATTTGGTAAACATGATTTTTCAAACTAAATTAACACTATAAAATAAAGAAAAGAGAATGAATCAAGACTTTTTAAAAGTAATAAGGCTTATGATTATTCATCTCCCTTTATAATTCAAGAATACTTAATTAACCCCTAATATATTTGCTCTTAATAATGAATTATGCTAGTGAAGGATATTAAATTACCCACAAGTGCTCTCTCAAGTCTCTAAGTAGGTGTTTAGTTTAATTAATCCCTTAGTCTCTTAATTAACTAATTAAATTCTAATGTTCCTTGCAAATCCTATGTGACTGTGAGGTTAATGAGTGTATCTCTACCTCATTAACAAAACCATCCATTTAATTTGTAAACTTCAAGTTTTCATGCAATTTAAATCAAGTTCTACACTCAACCTAGCTCTCTTAAACATTAATCAAGTGAAGCCAATAATCTAATTGATGGCCAATCAATTAGAAGCATTAATTATGGGGTAAAATCAACATAATCACATCATTCATCATAAATACAAAGGGGCATAAGTATTTTATCCATACAAAAGGTATAAAATAATCCTAGAATCAAGGGTTTAACTACAAATGTTCATAAAACCCATGAGAAAATATAAATATATGAGCACTAACATTGAACAAAAGGAAAGGAAAGAGAATGAAGAAGAATGACCAAGATATGAAGCCAAAATCTCTTTCAATCTTCAAACCCAAGCTCAATCTCCACCAAAATTCATGCCTTAGCACACCCAAAGCTCCTAAATACTCCCAAGAAGTCTAGAATGGTGGCCAAAGTCAAAAACTAGTCATATCTACTCTAAAATCCTAACTTTATTAGCTAAATAAAACGTTTCATTTTGTTGTTGCATCAAAAGTCACAACTTTAGGATGACTTTAGTAATTTTGCATTGTTTTCACTGTTAATGAAACTTAGCCTTTATGTACTTGATTTCTTCATCTAAAAATCTTTCAAAAGCATTAACAAAAGTCCATAAATGCTTCCAACCAAACCTTAAACTAAAATATCAATAATGTAGCTTCAAAATACCAAAATAGAGCATAGTTTGAATTTCCAAAACAACATGCACATTTTTCTAACTTGAGTATTCAAAATATGTATAATTGTTCCAAAATATATCAAAAATCAAAGGAAAATATGCTTACATGATATGAAATTCTAGAGGTTAATAGTCAACATATTGTCAGATTGAGTAATGCTTAGGATGGGGTGAAAGAATAAGATCTAATTTCCATAAAAGTATCCGTGGTAGGACTTATATGGACAGCTTTGAGGTTTTAAGTGCACTACCATTACAAGTAGACATTGGATCCAAATAATCTCTTGCGGCCTTTTTTGTAATTAGCATTACAACACAATATGAAGCCTTGTTAGACCAATATTTGATTCACACCAACAAGTATGTTCCTTCCTCCCTTTATCAAATGCTTCTCATGTGGAAAGGAGAGGAGGTAAAGGTAGTTTGGGTAGAAGATAAGCCCTTCACGAGAATCATGAATTTTGCTGACGTCATATACTACGATGCAGACATGGCCCCTTTACTTTCTATAGAATTAATCAACACATGGCCGTAAGGTTTTCCTTGTCTAATATAGTAAAAACTACTGCTATGCCTCTAGTATCACAGAGGTACTATGG